TTGAAACCAGCTTTGCTATGCTAATTCTAGATATACAATAACCATCCCACTCTTTTCTCTTTTACAAATACGACAGAACAGGAAACCTACCACGCCATTAAACTTCAAACATCGTGCTGCTCTTTGCCTTTTTTTTCATCGTCTCCTTACCGTTGAATAAACTTTTAGTGGACTCACAGCAATAGTTTGTAGCCATGTGATATGGTAGCATTTTCCAGTGAATTATTAGCCAATAACGTGTTTTTCGTTGCTGCAAAATTTTTGACTTTTTTGGTTTGCTTCTGTGTTAGCAATAACAGCTCGTCTGTGAATTGGTAACAGGGAGAACAGCCTAGCCACATATAACCCTGCAGTTAGGTTGTTCCTTTACACACCATTTTTGGTAAAATCCCCTGCAAATTACCTTCACAGACTGTCCAGGTATCTTTAGATAAACACCTCTTGGGTTCAGAGAGCTATTTATCCATAACAGCAGAGCCACCACTCTGCTCTGAACAGGCTACACTTAAGAACATGGTAATTCTATGCCTAACACGACAAAGTAGGAAAGAACACAAGGATTAGGCAATTAAAACAGGACCAAGAATACTTATTGCTAGATTGGCAGTTGCTCAGCCTGAACCCTGCCACATTAGATCTTCCTGTATCCACCAGACCTTGTCTGAAAGAACATCACTGAATGTGGCACCCATTGCCTTTCCCTGCAATTCTCTAAATCCTACCACCCCATGAGACACAAAATAGCTGCTGTTTCCTGAGAACAACCTATTCATGCATTTTTGTGAAGCAGGGCCAGTTCCAGAAGTGTGACTTAGGCTTCATGTTGCAGTGTCTAACTCTTTTGGCCCCTTGTTATCTGATGTAAACTGCACTCCTGAGACACACAGAATCACACTGCCAAATGGAAGAGAAAATGAAACCTCAGGACTGATTCTCAGATGTCAGTAGATTGTGATCAGAGAAAATTCAACTGCAAGTGCTCACCTGGCAGAGCATACCTTCATCTCCTCAGCACTCACACAAGCAAACTCTGTCTTAGACAAAGAGCCTACCTAAGCTAGGCTTTTCTCACATCACTGATTTAACATAAAACAAATCTATGCTGGAATAATTCAAATCCATACAGAACCCCCAGTTAATTATGATCCCTAAATCAGAGACCTTCTCCTTCCTTTGGGCAGAATCCCATAACCTGGTAGCATGGATTAGCTACTGGACTAAAGGAGCCGGCACCTACTGACCTAAGCCATTTGGCTTCTTCTTCTTATGAACTGAACTACTTCTGTGTCCACCCCATTTCAAACACCAGCCCTTGGCTGCATTCTTCCATTAGCATTTTTTTTCCCTACAGCAAAAAGCAGTTCCTTTCAGTACATGCAAAAGAGCAGGGCTTGAAGAACTGATACAGGCATCTTTGCTAATTTCCTCCTGTTAAGAGGTATAAAAATCTCAACCAAAACTTTTCCTTCTATGAGCCTTCTTTCAAATGTCTCTTAGTAATTCAAACAATTAGATTATGATGCTGTTTTGTCAGTGTGGTTTTACATCGTCTCACACGGTTTTACTCATTTGGGTTTTTCTTGACCTTTTGTTTTTGAACTTCTCTGTATGTTAATATGTATTTTGTCACAGCTGTGCTGCCCCTCAGCCAGACACCAATGCTCACAACGAAACATCAAGCTCTGTCTAGTAGAAGCTCACAGAAACCCATGATTAGAACTGCTTTTTTCTATTGTGCTGAATAAATTGAGTATTTTGTGCCATTCTGAAGGCTTGTTTCAGAATTTTTTCCTCACAACCATAGCAAATTGCTGATCAGGCCCCCTTCCCTCACTTGCAGCCTAGTGCATCAATGCTGTATTTCAACTCACACATGGAGAGCCGCAGCTGGGGCTGCTGGCTGTATGGGCCAGATGCCTCTTCGCCTTAGTCAGCAAAGTGCCTGCTGACTTCAAGGACATTTTCCCCTCAGTCAGTGAGCATAACATGCAACTCTGCATTTTACTGTGGTTTCCACTAGGGCCCTGAATATGCAGACACTTACACATATACTTAATTTTACACATATGGACCCCGTTTCAGTCATTAACTGCATGCCCAACTCAAAATAGATGAGTGCTCCCAGTGAAATTGATGGAACAACTGGAGTACACACAATTGAGAAAATGAGTGTTTCTGAGATGGAGGCTTGGGGGGGGGGGGGGGGGGGGGGGGGGGGGGGGGGGGGGGGG